ACGCTTTGTCTGGTTGGCCTGTGTGTGTGTGTGCGTGCGTGCATGTGTGTGTGTGTGTGTGCGCGTGTATGTGTGTGTGCGCGTGTATGAATTAAAGAATAAGTGAATGAAATGATGAATGAATAGCTGGCAAAGCAAATGAATTAATAGTACATACATAAATGAATTAGTTTAAGTGTTTATAAATAAATCAAAGAATGAATTAACGAATGAAGAAATGAATAGATGGACAGATGGACGAACAGAAACAACAAAAACAGACAGACTGACAGACACCACTGACATTTGAACTGAAATCCGATATATCAGATTCAAAGGAGGCAGTCTTTCCGAGCTGTTTGTTCTTTGCAACCTCTAGCATTTCTTTGTTCTTCACTAACTCCCTCAACATATCGCCACTCTCACTGACGTACCCGGAGCTATCTCTCTGCTTGTCGCCAGTTATAGCGGTATTTATACTGGGGTGCATGGTTGCGGACGATAATGGAGGTTTATCGGGCGTGTTGTTGTTGTTGTTGTTGTCCAGATCTGATCTCACGTGCATAGATAGTAACTTTTGATTATGTTGTTGTTGTTGATGTTGTTGTTGTTGTTGTTGCTGCTGCTGTATTTCGATATTTTCGAATTCTTCACCATTCACGATGACAGGCGAGCCTCTAGTGGTGAATGAAGCGGCGTCTTCGACGTTCTTGGCGTCAGTACGAGCGTCTGACGCCACCGAGAGGGCTTCGTTACTACCAAAGGGTGTGCTTACCTGATTGGTTGGTTGATTGGTCGATTAATTGATTGGTCGATTAATTGATTGGTCGATTGATTGATTGATTGATCGATTGATTGGTTGGTTGGTTGGTTTACTTATTGACTGATTGATTGGTTGGTTGATTGAATAATCGAACGTTTGATTGGTTGATGAAATGCATAAATTACAAAACCCAACCAAAGATTGGATGCTTGTGTCACTCTTACTACTCCCTTCCTTCTCCCAATAATGTGTGTGTATGATCTCCAGAACCATCAGTGCCGAAGCCATACCACCTGTTCGTTTGTTCGTTCGATTGTTTGTTTGTCTATTTGTTTGTTTGTTTGTTAAATACACACAGATACACACACCCCATACATACACACACCCCACACAAACACACACACATACACACACACATAACACACACACATACATACATACCGGTTCCCTGGCTATTAAATGTAACTTCCAGGCCGGATATTATAGCTTTCATCATTGTAAGCATTCCTTTAAAAACTTGTCTTGTTATGCACTAGGTGAATATATTTTTTTATATTATATATTTGAGTAAGTACGTATGTGTACGTATGTATGTATGTATGTACGTATGTGATGTATTGTATTGTATTGCAGAATTTGTATAGCGCCTTTTGTGAGTTGACTTCAGAAGCGCTGTCTACTTTCTTCGCTGTTGAATGTTGAAAAAATGAGTCTTTAGCCGTATGTGAGTATGTATATTTGAAATTTCTTTTTGTTTGTGTTATGTTCTGGTAAATAAAAAGTATTTTTGATTTAATTTTGATTTGATGTATGTAAGTATGCATTGTGTAAAGAAAGCTGAGTATGAGAAAAAAACAAGAGAAAGAGAGTGAAAAAGAAAGAGAAAAAGAAAGAGAGAGGAAGAAAAAGAGAGAGAGAGAGAGAGAGAGAGAGAGAGAGAGAGAGCATGTGTGCATATGTATCCATTAACAAACGAACGAACGAACAAACGAACGAACCACATCATCGAGATGCTGGTTCTCATCGGAGAGCTTTCTTTCCAGACTGGTATTCAACCTGCTGACGACAAAGTTCCTGTAATTCTCATCCTCCATCAGCTTCTTCACACGCCCCATCTTCAGCCACCCCACCCCCCTACCCTCCAGGACCAGGCCAGAGATTTCTTTCAAAAATTGCTGGTTCTCACTGTGTAGTAGTAATGAAAGTAGCAGCAGTAGTAGTAGTGACAGTAGTAGTGGTGGCAGTAGTAGTAGTGGCAGCAGTAGTAGTAGTGGCAGCAGTAGTAGTGGTGGCAGTAGCAGTAGTAGTAGTAGTAGTGGTAGTAGTAGTAGAAATAGTAGTAGTAGCAGTAGTAGAAAAAGTAGCAGTAGTAGTAGTAGTGGTAGTAGTAGTAGTAGTAGTAGTATTAAAAATAATACAACATCACCATCAAAAACACCCCAACCACCACCACAATTAACAACAACAGCCAACAACAAAAACACTGAGAGAAAGCAAGAGAGAGAGAGAGAGAGAGAGAGAGAGAGAGAGAGAGAGAGAGAGAAAGAGACAGAAGAAATGACGTCATCATCGAGGTCAATAACATTACTAACTTATGTTGCGAGTTCTTCTGATCGGATATAGACTGCTGCCTGACTAACTCTCGATTGTTGCTTCGTCTCAAATTGTTGATGTTGTTGTTAATGACGTTGCTGTTGTTGTTGTTGTTGCCACTGAAGATGCTACCACCGCCACTGTTGTTGTTGCTGCTGCTGATGTTGCTTTGCTTCATCAATGCTGATTTCTCGATTAGGGCTTTGCGGTTGCCTACGTTATAATGATGACGGCGACGATGATGATGATAATGGTGGTGGTGGTTATGATACTGATGTTGATTGATGATGATGATGATGGTGGTTATGATACTGATGTTGATTGATGATGATGATGATGATGGCGACGATGATGATGATAGTTGTGATCTGATGATGATGATGACGATGACGACGACGATGATGACGACAGGAAAAAAACTCACCCAATGGTGCGAATGGTTTTGTGGTTTTGTTTGAAGGAACTGGACTGACCGAATGATCTGCAGGGATGATGATGATGATGATGACGACGACGATGATGATGACGATGATGATGATAGTAATGATGATGGCGATGATGATGATGACAATGAAAGTTACGTAAAATAAAGGTGAAACAGACCCGTATCGGCTAGAGTAGAAGCAATAGATTCAGCTATATTTGGCAGGTTGTCTGAAGTTTAAACATGAAAAAATAAACTTCTTCTTCTTCTTCATCGTCATCACTATCATTAACAACAATGACATCATTATCATCATCACGATCATCAACAACACAATCACAACCATCACCACTACACCAAACAAACAACCAACCAACCAACCAACCAGCCAGCCAGCCAGCCATCCAGCCAGCCAGCCAGCCAACCAACCAACAAACCAACCAATCAATCCAGTTATAGTATTAGTAGCATTGTGAGCGTAGCTATGTATCTCCTCAGTAAACGAATTAATGATAGAAGCGGCTTTGCCACCATCTTGCGACTGTTGCGTCAAAGACCGCTGCTTCTGCTGCTGTTGTGGTAGCGACCTTTGCTTCGGCTTCATGGTTTTGCTCGTTGACGTGGTAGCCGTTGATTGGCTGCTTGTGGTGGCCGTCTGCGGTAGGGAGGACATCTGGCGGTGGTGTATTTCAAGAGGCTGATGTAAAAATTTTGTTTGTGGTGGTGGCTGATGATATTGTCACTGTGATGGATTATGCCAATTTGTGTTGATTCGTGCCGATTAATTTGTTGCTGTGATGGTGAAATAAATGCCTACATCATCATCATCATCATCTCCTTCATCATCATCATCATCATCATCATCATCATCATCATCATAACCTCACCCGACTCAAAGCCGTCGGATTTGGTGGTGGTGGTCTTTTCGGCGGAACTTTTCCAGCAATTTGTTGTTTCGTTGTGGCCGTTGTCGTTACGGCCGTTGCCACTGTTTTGTTTCTGTAGTAGTTGTAGTAGTAGTGGTAGTAGTTGTAGTAGTAGCAGTAGTAGTAGTAGTAGTAGTAGTAGTTGTAGTAGTAGTAGTAGTAGTATTAGTAATAGTAGTAGTAGTAGTAGTAGTAGTAGTAGTAGTAGTAGTAGTAGTAGTAGTAGTAGTAGTAGCAGTGGTAGTAGTAATGGTAGTACGTCTAAATGTATTTATACTGAAATATTTGAAGAATGCTTACGTGTGTTGGAAGCGTGAATAATAGGTGTTTGCTATGTCCTTCAAAATGTACGTACATATGTTTGTTCGTTTATTCTTCCATTCATTCATTCATTCATTCATTCATTCATTCATTCATTCATTCATTCATTCATTCATTCATTCATTCATTCATTCATTCACTCATTCACTCACTCACTCACTCACTCACTCATTCATTCATTCATTCACTCATTCATTCATTCATTCATTCATTCACTCAGGCAATCAACTTACCCATCATTTTGTTGAGCGTATGTCATATTGAGCGCGTTGTTTTTCTCCTCGGTGACTCTCGACGACTTCTTGAGAATTTAAAATTAGAAAAAAAAAATTTAGAAAAAATAATCATCACAATCTCCATGACATAAACATCACCACCACCACCATCATCATCACCATCATGATCATCACCACCATTACCATCACCATCATCATCATCATTGCCAACCGCATCACCGTCCTCATCATTATTGATATCATCAGTTTCGTTGAGAGATTCATTTTGCGATATATCAGAGCTATCATAGTCGTAATCGTCGTCGTCGTCGTCGTCATTGTAGTTGTGGTAGTTGCGACCATGGCCACCGCCGCTAGTTTTAGTGGAGTGGCCGCCGTATTTAGGGTCGTCTGGGACCTGCAGGCGATCTGGTGGCTGGAAGACTTTCGATTCGTCAACTATTAGCAGCTGCTTCTCTGATGAGTTCAGTACTGATGGAGGAAGAGATAGTGAAAGATGCAAAAAACACATACATACACACACATACATACACACAAAACTATACATGCATAAATACATACATTACATGCGCGCACACACACACACACACACACATACACACACGCACACACAAACACCTATATAAACATTCACACATACACAAATACAAACACCAACACATAAACATACATACAGATACATACATACATACATACATATACGCATACGCGCATACACACATACGTACATGGTGTATCGCCGTTGATGTCGCTGTTTTGTATGTCGGCCACAAAATCGCTGAGCGACGAATACGACGAGCTTGTACTTTCCGCGCCGTCTGTGTCGCTACCACTCTCGTCTGGTGGCGATGATGATCGCAATGATGATGATAATGATGATGATTAATTGTAACAAATTTCAAAATATATCGTCAATCAATCGATCAATAAAAAAAATGTAAGCAAATAATAAGCACCATTATACGTAATCCGTTATCGAATGGATGAATGAATGAATGAATGAATGAATGAATGAATGAATGAATGAATGAATGAATGAATGAATGAACGAACGCATGAATGAATGATAAATGAACTGCTAGTTAAGCAACAAAGGAACATCGATACATACACACGAAGACACGCACACAAACAAACAAAACTGCTTTGAAAACCGTTATAAAAACCCAACAGAGCATAATGACAAGTAGATCATCATTATATACGTACATGAACTAATTCGAATACCTTCTCGCAAAATAGTTTTCTGTAATAAATCAAGTATTTCTCTCTCTCTCTATCTCTCTCTCTCTCTCTCTCTCTCTCTCTCTCTCTCTTTGTCTCTCTTTTTTTCTCCTTCTTTCCTTTTCTTTCTCTTTAAAACAAATCTCTTTTTCTTTCTTTCTCTGCCTCTCTCAATCAGTCAGTTAATGAAATGTACTACTTTTTCTCCCTTGGTCGTCGTCGTCATTATTCCAGAATTCAAAATAATTCTTACCAAGCCAGAAATTCTAAAATAGTTCCACATCTCAAATTCACAACTTCCAAATTCGTAATCGCGGATTCATAAATTGCCAATTCCAAATGTTTAAATTTCAAAAATTCCAGGCGGCCACAAATTCCCTAATCTCTCTCACTAACCGGTAGGGTTGCTATCGTTGAGTGTCTTCGCCTGCATCTGCTCGATGGCCGAGCCCAAAGAGCTTACATCGTCGTAAACTGAAAACTCGACCTTTTGCAGGGATGAGCTAAACCATTTCGACTTGTCACCGATCAGTAAAGGGTCGAAAATTCCTGTCTGTATACGTAGGAAGACTGCGTTCGTCGGACTCAGAGCCCACTCGACGAAATATTCCACTGCCTGGTTGGATTCGTGTGTTTGGTTGTTGTGTGTTTGGTCAGTTGTGTGTTAGGTTGTTGTGTATTGTTTGCCTGTTGGGCTAATGTTATCGTCAATAACTGTTCGTTTGTTGATGTATGCGTGTTACCGAAAGACAACAAGCAATGAAACAAAACAAATAAACCGAAACTCAAAGGATCTGTAGCCAATAAACAACAACAACAACAACAGCAACAACAACAATATCAACAAAATCATCAGCAGCAACAACATCAGCAACAACAATAGAAAGAACCTGGGTCTTAGCAAGTCTCAGAGTAAACTTGGTCTTGACAGGTCGAGATCTTAGAAAGCTATTCAACTGAAAGGCGACGACGGGCCGTGGGTAGAGACGGAGGGTCCGCGTGTGCTCTGCGAAGTTTCCCAGGATGTTTGGAGAATTGAAGAATCGAACCTAAGATCATTTGCATAATTATCATCTGTACGACCATTGTGTACGACCATTGTGTACGATCATTGTTATTTGTATCATGTTAGAATACACAGTTGCATTCTAAAACATATTCCACAATCAGAAGGAAAGGGCCTAAGCTGGAATTCGAACCCGAAAACAACCAGTCAAGCATCGATTGATGATAGCACGTAACAAAGAAACAAAACAATGCAAACGACCGAGTCGGCAGGCACTTCTACCGGCTGAGCTAAAGCGCTGGCTATAAAATTAAATAAAATAAAGAAACTAAAACCAAATTGAAATAAAACCATCACAAACACACACACAGACAAAGACACGAACAGACACGCACCATAGCTACTCTTGTGGCCACATCGACCGAGTCAACATCATTGCCATAGATGAGAGGATTGAATCCGTTGCCACCGACATTGCTGTTGAAGTTGAGGCTGCTGCTTGGTGCGTCTGATGAGAAAAAACTGAGAGGCGACGATGTTGAAGTTGCTGCAACTGCTGCCACAGCGGCTGCAGGCAGCTTACTCATGTCTTTAATTGGTTCCGGACTGACACTCATGCTTGCAAGAGCCTATTTTAAGTGTGTGTAAGTAATTTCATTATACTTGTGTGTGTGTGTGTGTGTGTGTGTGGTGTGGTGTGTTTGTGTGTGTGTACTGCAAAACGTAATGAATGTACGTTATAAATGTTGTTTATAGTTCATACATACACAAACTTACAGACATGCACACACACACACACACACACACACACACACACACACACACACACACACACACATACATAGAGACAGACTTACAATACGATAGACACACACACACATACACACACAGACATACATACATAGAGACAGACGTAGAGACGCACCTGTTTCAAATGATTCTTCAGTATGCTACCCTCTGGTTCAGGCAGAGCGGGAATCTCCTCAGACTGGGCTGGCGGTGATATCTGGCGACGATGATGATGACGACGACGATCAATCAGTCCAAATGAAAGAATTATAGAAACCATGAACAACTTTAAAAACAAAAAAAACTTCATTATGATAAGAGGCCTACAAGCCAAACATCATTTAGCAAAAATTCAACTGTTCATTCATTCATTCATTCGTTCATTCATTCATCCATCCATCCATCCATCCATAAACTGTTCCATCCATCCATATCTATCCATCAATGAATGAATAAAATAGCGGAAAAACCTTGTTAGAATCGAGATCAACGAGCCATATATCATCAGGAAGTAAAAAGTTCTTCTTATACATCAGGAATGTCGTTGGGACGCCAATTATATAAGGCGTCGGTACTAAAAGTAACTGTGTGCGTGCGTGCGTGCGTGTGTGTGAGACAAAAAGTGTACATGTTGAATAACGACGCGACGAATTGCATTAATGCGTGTGCCGAGACTACAAATAGTAACATTCAAATATAAATCTATTGACAAAAAGACAAACATACACACACAGTACACATACAAACTCACTCACTCACACACACACACACACAAACTCACCTACACACACACACACACAAACAGACAGACAGTCAGAGAGACGAGACAACAGCAGACACAACATAGAAACCTGTTCAGCGTTGCTCATGCACGTAGGTAACAGAGGAATAACGGGGAACATGTACTCCAGGGGGTATAGCATTGATACGAATGCCATCACACTCATGGTTAACGCATTGTAGTCACGACTTTGTAGTATTATCTGTAGTAGTAGTAGTAGTAGTTGTTGTTGTAGTAGTAGTAGTAGTAGTAGCAGCAGTAGTAGTAGTTTTTGTAGTAGTAATAGTAGCAATAGTAGTAGTAGCAGCAGTAAAAATTGTTTACAATTTTGTTGCTTCTTTATTGTACCATCACGTAAGATTTGCATCTTACCATAATACTTATTGATTTTGTATAGTCATTTAAATACAAACATACACACAGGCGCGCGCGCGCACACACACACACATACACACAGAGGCACGCACACATATACACACACACACCCACGTATTAATGAAACTCAAATAACTAGAAAAATTATTCAAATGAGCATTAATCGATCGACATATTATAACCTAACCTAACCTTAACTTTTCCAGAAGTCTTAAAAGTCTTAAAATACGGTTAACATTGTATTGTAGCACGCGCACACACGCACACATGCAGCACACGCATACGCACGCACACACATACACACACACAGACATACACACAGAGACATTACTCTAACTTTATGTTCTAGGATGATTAGTGTAAGAACTTTGAGGCATGTATCAACGCCTAGAAGTTCCAATGGAAGATGAAGTGGGAAGTCAACCAAAGAAAATCTGGATGAATGAATGTATGAATGGATGAATGAATGAATGAATGAATGAATGAATAAATGAATGAATGAATGAATGAATGAATGAATGAATGAATGAATGAATGAAAAACCTCGTGTGATCTGGCATTGCAAAGACAAGAGGGTTGTGGTGTCTCAATGGAAGAATTTTCACCTACCAATGTGGAAATATTTCAAAACTGATAATTTTGCTTAAAAAAATTAAAATGAAAAAAGACTATATATCTGTCTATCAATAATTCATTCATTCATTTATTCAATCATTTCAATCATTCATTCATTCATTCATTCATTCATTCAAACTAGATTTCTATAGCAAAATTTAATTAACATCTAACTGAGAAAAAGCAATGCCTCTAATGAAAAGTAAACAATACAATTTCCTGATTACTAATTCCAAAATAGCCATGAAAAACTTCAAAATAGTTTCTAATCTATATTTAAAAATAGTCTCATAGCCTTAAAATTACAAAATTCCTAATTCCTAATTTGAAATCCACTTGCACCACAACAGAAACCTCGACTCTGGTCTTGCTAGGCACTGGGACGGGAGCACTCAACAGTCTTAGTATCCATGTTTCAATTTCTCGAACTTCATGCATGACCAAATTTGGGCAGTTGTCAGTTATCAGGCCCGTCAACACACCCCAAACTGAATCTCTGTTTAATTTATAGAGTTTTATTTATTTTAATTTGAATTCTTCATTTTTGTGGTTTTGTTTTAGATTAAATGATTGATACATTAAACATTAATCGACAGAAGTACATTACACACAGATGAAACAACATACAAATAATGAATTAAATAAATAAGGTATTATACAAAAATATACACAAATCACATATTTATAAATACACAAATCAGAGATTTCTACCAAGTGATCCACTTACCTGCCACAATTTCTGGAAGCACCAATTTTATGAGAACTCGATCGATCTGTACAAGAATCAATAATTTTTTTCAAAGTGAACAGGCATTCTCTGAAAGTTGAGAAGAATGGATGATGGCTGAGAATGCAGAAAGATGTTAGTGTGTTATTTTTGATTCTCCCAACTTTCTCTCTGTGATGATGGGGTGAATATTTAGTTGTCGACGTCAAACTTTTTTGCTGATTCAAAAATGTGTAGTCTACATTGCTTTTGCTGCTGTAATTATCAACGCTGCTCTTTGCAATGGGGCTTCTATCCAACTTATTCCTTTCATACCTCCTATCAAACGGTCGAAAGAAATTCATACATATGCCATACCGAGTTTTGCCAGAATCTTTGTCAGTTAGTGTAAACACAAAACAAGTACATTCCCTCAAAGTTAATCGTTTGGGCCCCACGCTGAAGCAGCCCTCGGGTTGGCAGAAAAATACAACATCCGGAGCCAATGGGAAATCCGTGTGGTCCTCTCTGGGATACCTACGTAGAAGTTCCGGAGTTTGAGCTACGGAATTATTCCGATTAGGATGTCTGGTCCCAACAATTAGTACGTAATCGAGTAATCTCGGGCAGATGTATTTTTTTTGGTAATCGTACGAGGAAGACATGTTGGAATTTGTGGCATTTAAATTTTAAAAAACTCCAATCAACAATTTTTAAAAGTAAAAAAACTTTTTAAAAATTAATTTAATTATTACTTTGTTTACCAATGAAGGCACAAGGTTAGAATTAGTTTCTACATGTTAATTACAGTAGTTTGGTGACAGTTATACAGTACGCTAAAAATTATTTGATTTCTTGTAATAATTTTTCTCAAAATAAACGATTTTAATATTTGTTTATCAATTAAGAAACTTTAATTTTTATAAGCACGTAAAACCCAACATTTCTAAAGTGTTCAACGTAAAAATACTAAGTTACTACAACACTTATCGTTACTAGAATTATATAAAATCATTTAAAAATCGCAATTGATGATCGCTGTCTATTGACATCAAGCGACGCTCGTACGCTAAAATTCGCTACTACGAATTGAACAAACATTTCACATTATATATAGCGCACATACACATACACTCATTTACATACATTAATACTGCATACCAGACATACAATAATAATCTTCAAACACATATACAATAGCCGCATTATTAAAAAATGCATGCACAAACACCTATCTATTTATATACAAATACATATGACATGCAACACATATATATACGCACACAACACCTACGATCGAAAACACACACATGTGCATACATATATACACTGCGTATACAACACAAACACGCAAATATAGAAAGCCAAGTGCGTACAGCGGCGAATGGCAATTATGTATCTGACGTCATGTTTTGAACCTTGCAAAATCAATACACCTCTGGCTGCGCCTATCTTACGGATTGTCAATTTGGCAGAAATTGAGGATGAAAATTTTGTGAAAAATGAAGCTTATTCTCTTCCTGTTTGGTTGTGTTTTTCATTTTATAGCGATTTCATGTTTGTTAAAGTCATCAGAAACGCAGAGCATTAACGAACTTTCTTTGAAATGTTGCGTAAATGTAGAACAAGGAATTAAACGGGCACATTTTTTAATAGGAACTTCTCTAAAGACCAGGACAAAAACATAAATTAATAGAAAAAAAAACAGAAAAATATGACAAAACCAACATTGTCAATAAAGAACAGCATGATTTAATGATTACACATAACTATAGAAGAAAAAATTCTGGACCCAACTGCATCGAGGAAGACTTCGTAAAAACCATGACTGCAAAAGAGAAAAGAAAAAAATAAAAGCAATAAATAAAAACCCCAAAAAAGCAAACCCCAAACCTGAATTAAGTGCGACAGACAACCAACTGGCCGACCGGACCATCCAATAACAGGTAAAGCCTTTTTAGCATACTGATTAGGAGTTAGGTTGAATTCCGGACATTTAGACGGCCACAATAACGGTTGTCTCCTGTCAGCAGATTTGATGTTGAGCGGAGTTAAGCAGGTAAATGATACGTTTGTACGCCTGTGCTTGTGTCTCAGCCTCTCCATGCAACTATTCATGTAGACCTGTTTTGAGTTTGGAAATATATACGTTTTTATAACTTTTAACTTTAAAAAGAGTAATAATAATAATAATGATAGAGAATTATAATAAAACCAGATAAGACGCATTTCACGGACCAATTCATGAAACACATCTTGCATGTTTTACGGTGGAAAAGGTTGAAAATTATAACGAAACAGGATAGGAAACCTTGGTAGAAACGTAATGTGATGATGTTCGCGTAGGAAACTGGCATAGAAAAGAGGAAATGGAAATGATAGAGCCAGCGTCTCTAGGTACAAATTTCATTGGTAATGTTTTATTCATCAAGTTTGGTTTTTAAAAATGAGATAATTCTTTCGAGTTTTTATTACACTAAATAAATTTTCTACATTACTAATGACTATACCCTATAATTAATATACTATTTATTTAAGTTTATTTATTTAATATATTATTTCATGTATTTGTTTAATTTTTATTTCTAATTTTTTTCAAAAAAAAAAAAGTTTGACCAACATACCTGGCCAGCATTTTCGGTAGAATAACGTCAATGACCTGCGTATGAACAAATACCCTTATTATATCCATTAAATAGCATAAACATAAACAAACACACGCACACAGACATAAACAAACACACGTACAAATGAACATTCAAAATTTATAAAAATTGAACTAACCAATGTAAACAGTTCCACATTGACACTTATCATTTCGTGGACGGCCTATGTTTTAAAGATTTTAAATTAAAAAATGATTTTTCAATGAAAATAAAAACTACACTGAGTAAAAGTAAAGATGCTGCTGATGGCACTTGAAACCCAAGTATTGAGATCATTGTCAATGTTTTATTTACACATTGGTGTTAGTATCATTTCATTTTTTAGATTAAAATTTTAAAAAGTTACGTCAACTTTATAGAGCTTGAAGCACGGAATCAAAAGATTATAAGGTATTTTAGTTATTTATCTATACATACTAAACAATATTATTATCATTAAGTGAATTTGATCTTTGTTACTTTAATGTCCATGTCTTCCTCATTCAGATTCATCATGTCTGTGTTGTTGACTTTTGAAAAAATTCATTTATATATAAAACAATCAATTAATTTTATTAATCTACTAATTAAATAAATATTTAATTTCAATTTACGCTAATAATGTCGAATATAGTTTAAAAATTTTACTAAAATTTTTTGATAGAAAACGAAAGCATAAATAAAAGATAATTCAGTAAACAAATATATAAATTAACAATAAATCGAACATAAAATTGAAGTTAAAAATGAAGGAAAAATTTAAAAAATTATTAACTCATTCCCTAATTTGCTAACCAAGTGCACAGCAGTTCTTTCCCATTGAATGAACTACCAGATCATGGGCTGCCAGCTGTACATCGCTTGTGGAAAATAATATCTTCTCACATTTTATTTTAAACCTATTTTCTAAGAAAATGGTTGAAAATTATCAAAAAACTGAAATGAAATAAAATTATTAAAATGAAATTAGAGAATAATATCTTGCCATAGAAATAAAAATATTTTAAAATTGAAAACAAACCTAATGTTATTTGGAGTTCATGAATTCTTGGGTGATGATCAATCAAAATTAGGTTGATTTCTTGTTCAGCTAGTAGGTAGGCAAATTCAGACCCCAACTCATCACATATGATCACCACTGCCAATTTTTAAAGTTTTAGAAGAATCATTTCATTTTTAGCTCAGCAAATTATATGGGTAAAAGAGATTACTAATAATTTCATTGATATAAATAATTTAATTAAATAATTTATTTATTTAAAAGATTTACAACACTATATTTTTACCTACCTGCCCAATCTCCTGATTCTTTCAGAGATTTTTTGAAGATTCTCGACACAGCATAGGTTTTAAATGATGAAATTAACTCGTAGCCTAATTGAGCTGACTTTTTAGTAACATAAAATAACCCAAAAAGAGCCAGTCCTTTTAACACTATGTTGTGTTTTATACTAATTTCATCTGAGATGATTTTGAGCAAAGGCTGAAAGCTAAATAGAGGATGGATAAGAAATTAATCATTATTTATTAATTAGTGAATTTAGATAAGTTATTATAAATTATAACTCTAAAAAAACTAATAGTCTAAAATCTAAATAAAAAAGTATTCCATCTCTATTATAAATTTTTAATAATCTAAATAAACTTAATACAACACTCTCTTAAATTAGTTTAGTAAACTTACAGTAAACTAAACTAAAAACTATTACTAACTAAATTAAATTACTATACTATAAAAATACTTTTACTTTTACTACTTAAACTTGACTTGACCTACTCACTGCCTATTTGCTGTTGTTAGCTAACTATACATCCGATAAAAAAACAAATAAACAAAACCAACCTATCAACGTACAGCGCCATCAACGATTTTCACGTTTGAAACATTTGAAAAATGTATTAAAATGTCATTTTTGATGAGAAATCCCGACGAAATAAATATTTTCAATAATGCAGTGATTGTTTACTTTTAATCCATAGACAAAAAAGTCATAAACAAAAATTTCAAACGGCTGCGGGCAGAAGTATTAAATCAGATATAAACTAAAGAGAAGTACATATACATGTGTGGAGTGAATACACATTCTAAATTAAAAAAAAACTAACAAATGAAAAAAATGATTTAAACTTAAATTCAATAAAATAATTACTTAATTAACTAAATCATTACAAATAGCATAAAAAAATCATTGTATAAAACGAATGTGTGTGTGTGTGATTTTAAAATTATGACTAAATGATTGAACATTGTTTCCTTAATCATAATATACACATGCATAAGAATGTAATAAAAACTATTAAACATTAATACCATGGATATAGAAATATAGATATAGCATATATATGGATATAGCTCCTATATTTATGTTTATGACGTAATAAACAAGCATTGTTATATCTATATGGCACTAAAATATGAATAAGATTAACATTAAAATGTGTTAGAGCAAGAAAAAGTACAAATACAAATATATATATATATATATATTCAGATACTCAGTAAAAATTAGGCAAAAAAGATAACCATCCCCATCCAGTATTATATTTACCAAGTCCATACACACACAAACATACATACACACACACACACACATACAAACACACACACACATCATAC